GACATTTGGTCTAAACTCTGGTACCAATTTCCACGTTTCTTGAATCCGCTGACACACACTCATATTTGGCTTTATGCGAGTGCTCTTCTTTTAAAATAAAAAGAGCTAAAGATTGCTTGGTTAGTTTGTGAATGAGGCCAATAAGAAAAATTACTAAATTGATAGCAAACCCATTTTCTCTATGCTGTTACTCATTTTGTTCAGAAATAGTCACACGGAGTACTTGTCTCAAAATACTTGAATCCATTTAATATATGTTGTAATTTTCTGAGATCAGACTTTGCTCTTTGTTCGAGTCTGTTGACTAAAACCGAGCAGTAATGTGGTATTTCATCACCAGCTTCAAGGGAGCAGAATTAGGCCTCCAGCCCGTACCAACACAAGGGTTTGTTCCAAGCGCATTCCACTTCTTCCACTAGCTTGAACAGGCTTTGAAGTGGGGCATAGCTACGTTTGCCAGAATAAACCAGAAATTTTTCAAGAAGTGGGAAAAAAGATGTATTTCCACTCACAGCAGCATGACAAAGTATTAAAACTGGCATATTTTTGTACAAAGAGCTGTTGTTGGTATGAAGAAGTTGTGAATTTACTCTGTATTTCTCCCATGGAAACAACTGCGTGGCACTGTATAACCCATACATAAATTCACTGTGAAACTCCGTTACGAGGAACTCAGATTTAGAATCAAGTCTTGGAAAACCCAGAGAACAGGAATATGCAATGCGCAGCAGCCTGATTTCCAGGTGTACATAAATCCACGCTGTAAAAGCAAATGCCTTTGGAAGAAGTGCAATTCTGGAACGAGTTCACACCTAAGTGGCTGGAGCATGGCCAGAAGCCGCGCTCTTTGGTCAGTAATGTGGATAAGCAATGAACTCCAAACTTAGGGCCAAATTCTGCACACTTGTTTCACTTGAACATTTCTGCTATACCTAAAGCCAATTCTTCACCTCTTATTTGTGTGAACAGCTCAGGTGCAGTAAATACTTGAACAAAGTAGAAGTAGCCTAGCACTGAGGGGTTACGGCTTGCAGACATTAGGATTCCAGAAACGTCGAGCATTGCATATTGACATTTTATAGAGATCTTTCTGTCCCGTTGCTGTAAATGTTTACAGCAGAGAACACAAGTTGATCACAACTGCGCATTTCTAGCTTCAATCCAGATCAGCTGCTCAAAAATGGTTTTGTCGGGAAAGGTCTCTGACAAAATCTTGAGCTACCACAGCTTCACTCAAGGCCACAGACTCTCGTAATGAATGACCTGTCTGTAATATTCGCCTAACTGGAGCAGTACAGGTCCTGGCTCGCTGCAACAGACATTCCAAGATGGATTGCTTTCCAGAAGTCATGTTATTATTCATACCACAAAAATTAACATCTTTCTCTCACTACTGATACATTCAAGAGATCCACGAAGCAATTGCCAAGTCTCAAACAAATCTTTTGACCCAGGTGGAATATGATGGTGACATCAGTGACAATATCCAGAAAATACAAAACAGCATTGATAATTAAGCACCATTATTATCCTTCCTATTTTTCTATTTTAATTATTGGTTATGACTGGGACTTACCTGGCCTTTTTCCACCTGTAGGAAGAATTTCAACATAGTCAATGAATGAACAAAACAAACAAATGATGAAAGATTTACTGCCAGTTTCTGGGCACCGCCACGAGCTGAACTGCTGAAGCCTATACCAGCTGCTTGTTGTACAATAATGAAATAAGCTAAAAAAAAATAATTTAAAATAGTATCCCATCAAACAGCTCCATTGTAAATGCAGATCATTTGACTTTATTTGATTCCTTCCCAATATTATTAATGCTACCACTAATACTGCTGATAATGATATAATTATCATTAATACTCCCTATTAATTAGGAGTAATGCAGGTTGAAGCATGTAAAGAGTCACCCGTCACAGATCAGAGATGATGGATCCACTTTTGTTTCCTGCAGTGGAAAGTAATGTTCCCACCCACTCAGCCTCAGCTCAACACAAGGAAATAGCAAAATAGAATTCAGCATAACACACATTAGATATCACAGTTAAATATTGTCAGCACTTCCAGAGCGAATCGTCCCCAAATAATTCCAGCACACAAGGAAAAGGAAGTTTCCTACACAAGGAAAAAAAAAAAAACCTCAATGTAAGCCAAAAATTATCTCTTTTAATACAAAATTCCATTCTCATAGAACAAATTTATTTCCACTGAATAAACAGATTTCCTCACCATTCGCAGGTGAGATTAATACCTATAGTTATGTTGAAATTCTCTTGCCTTTCTGCAGTTTAATTAAAATATAAACATTATTTGCAACTGGCTTTACTATATTTGGATACAAGTATGAACACTCGGGGGTTCGATGACATTGCCAAATGTATACAGCACCACTCTCACTAGGGGTTGTACTTTAACCTGATTTATATAGCTCCACGCATTACTTGCATGTAGTCTTATCAATGTAATTGTTATGATTATTATAAGAAAGATCTGGCCTTTGCACCTTTTTGTTTATTACTTTTAACACGTGCATGTTCTTCTACTACCCACTGAAAAAAAAAAAAAAAAGAACAGACCCCAACGGATTAGAGCTGAAGGCAGCAGAAATAAAACACTATCAACTCAGTGGAGGAATCTGGGGAATTCAAATGCAGATTTTACTAATACTATGGAGTTGATGCTAGAGCTACAGACATTTGGAGCTGCCCTTCCATCTCAAAACACAAACAGCTACTACCAAGGCTCAGGAAATGAATTCTGGCGCACCCAGATGCCTCTCCAAGACAGATTGACAAAAAAAAAAAAAAAAAAGCCTGCAATAAGCATACTCGCTGTAGCTATAAATAGCGACACTTGGGGTGAAAACAAGTATTCATGGTTTTATCTCCATTCAAATGCATTGTGCTGGGTGAAATCAAGTTGTTCCCCAGAGGGAGGAAGGCTAGCCGGGCCTGAGGTGACCCCACGCTGTGTCCCCAGCAGCCTCTGCCCCGCTCCGGGAAGGCGAGGGAGACCCTTAGACCCTAAAAACAACCAGCCGAAAGCCCTGGGGGAATCCCTTCTTAACGCGGGGGCGGGGTAAAGAGTCGCAATTCACCTGGGGAAATTACCGTCGCCGCTGTTCCGTTAAGACAAAGGCTATTCATAGATATAGTTGATATTTCTGTATAAAATTCTGCACTTGAAAGGTCTTTAAGGTAGCGCCTCGGCGACACGGGCTCCCGGCTGCGGCCCCGCCTGCCCCGGTATAAGGCGCCCAGGGGGTACATTCAGCC